ACATACATACAATGGAATAATTATTGTACGAAGGAAGGAATTTCTGATATAGGGTACAACATGGATTAACATTGAAACCATTATGCTAAATGAAATAAACCAGACACAAAAGGACAAATATCGTATGGTTTCACTTATATGACGTATCTAGAATAGTCGAATTCAGAGAGACAGAAAGAATAGTGGTAATTAGGGGCTGCAGGGAGAGGAGAAGGGGAAGTGATTGTTTAATGAGCTTCTGTTTGGGATAATGGAAAGTTCTGGAAATGGATAGTGTGGTGGTTGCACATTGTGAATGTACTTAATGCCACTGAATTGTACACTTAAAAATGGTTAAAAGGTTAACTTATGTTATATATATTTTACCATAAACAACAACAACAGCAGCAGCAATGACAATAGGAGACAAAATTAGACTATGACGTAGAATGCTGGGCTTAAACGAGATAATTCATGTGAAGTGCTTAGCATAATGCTGGGCTTATAGGGAATCCTCAATAAAGGAAGGACAAATGTATTTCTAATAATTGGAACCATTTAAAGATGGAAAGGGCTTCCTTGGGGATGAGATAGTGAGTTTCACGCTACTGGAAGTGTTTAACAGGAGGCAGAACAGACTTCTAAGTTTTGTATGCAAATGAATCGCCTGGGGATAGTGTTAGAATGCAGATTCTAATTTAAACAAGTCTTTTGTGGGGCCTGAAATTCTGCATTTCTAACAACATCAGGTGATGTTGATGCAGCCAAGTGAGCTAGATGATTTTTGGGGGTGGGTGGATGCTGAAGAAGGTATGTGATAATCTATCAGGTGGAGCATAAAGTCAGATCTCTGCTGTCCAGTACGGTGGTCAGATTGCCACACGTGACTATTGAGTATTTGAAATGTATCTAGTCTGAGATGAGTTGTGAGTGTAAAATATACAAGAACTTAGTATAAAAAGAAACTGTAAAACATCTCATTAATACTTTTTATATTGATTACATTCTGAAATGATATTATTTTGGTTATATTGGGTTAAGTAAAATGTTAAATTTTTTAAAACGGCTATGAATGGAAGGTGAACGGGCAATATCTAGAGGGTGTCACAGGGTTAGAAGAGGATTTTCTTGCTTTGGTAGCCTGGAAAGAACATGAAGTTAATAAGAAAGGGAGAAGTTGGCTCTCCAGGATCAGCAAGGGGGCGGTGAGTGAGAGAGCAAGGTCTACAAGGAGGCTGGAGGTAAGGCAAGGTTTATGTGGAATGTATACAGTTATAGAAAAGACGGAAAGACTGGAAAGAAACACATAGAAATGTTAACGCCAGTATCTGGGTAGTGGGGATGACGTTTACATTTTTTTACTTCTTTTGTAATATATGTTTTTGTATTTTCCTTTTTCCTCCATAAAGAGGCATAACTTGGGCTTCCCTGGTGGCACAGTGGTTGAGAGTCCGCCTGCCGATGCAGGGGACACGGTTTCGTGCTCTGGTCCGGGAAGATCCCACATGCTGTGGAGCAGCTGGGCCCGGGAGCCATGGCCGCTGAGCCTGCGCGTCCGGAGCCTATGCTCCGCAACGGGAGAGGCCACAACAGTGAGAGGCCCGCGTACCCGCCTGCCACCCTCAAAAAGAGGCATAACTTTTAAAACCGGGGACTTTTAAAATCGGGGAAATATAGAGGGACCATAAATTAGAGGTAGCCGGAAACACTGACTTTAGCACGAGGCCACCCCGCAGGAACTTGTGACAGGAACATGCAAATCACAAGAGTGATAGTATAAGCACGTGTGTAGGCATAGAAAGAGGACTAGAAGGAGGTGCTCCACACTGTTAAGAGGAGTAGTCTTTGGATGTTTGGCTTTCAGGTAATTTATACCTTCTTTCCACTTTTGTATACAGTTCAAATGTTTTATAATGACTATGTACTTTTTTATAATCAGGAAAATGAAGCTATTGTACTTTCAAAAAATAGGTATAGCCCTTTATCACAGAAAATAATAGTCCCACTATATCCTGCGTGGATAAAACCACATCTTAGGATCTTGTCTACTGCTGGCCTGGAAGAAGCAAGTGGCCGTACTGTGAACTGCCTATGGAGAGGGCCATATCGTGGGAAACTGGGGACTGCTTCAGGGGCTGAGAGTGGCCTCTGGCCAACAGTCAGCAAGAAACTGAAGCCCTTGTGGTACAGCTGCATAGAAGTGAATTCTGCAACAACCTGAGTGAGCTTGGAAGTGAATTCTTCCCCAGTTAAGTCTCAAAATAAAAACATAGTCTGGCTGACACATTGATTGCAATCTTGTGAGACTCAGAGCCTGAGGACCCAGCCAAGTCACGCCTGGAACTCCCGACCTGCAGAAACTAAGAGACAGTAAACGTGTGATGTTTTAAGCCACTAAATTTGTGGCAATTTTTTTTTAACACAGCAATAGAGAACTAATAGGTCCTCCCACCAGCAGTGTCTGAGAATTTGAAATGCTTTCCACTAAACCTCTTGTTTTGACAGTCCTTTTAACTTCGGCCATGCTGGTGGGTGTGCAGTGTGATTTTAATTTTAATTTTCTAGATGACTAATAATGTTCAGCACTTTTTCATATGCTTATTGGTCATTTGGATCGACTCTTTTATGAAATGTCTTTCAAGTATTTTTCCAATTAAAAAAATGAGTTGCCTGTCTTTTGATCACTGAGTTTAGGAGTTATTTATACTGGATATGAGATGTTGTGGGATACATGATTAAAAATCTCTTCTCCCAGCCTGGAGCTTGCCTTTTCACTCTCTTAATTGTGTCTTTTAATGAAAATAAAAATGTTCTCAACTTAATTTGTTTTTTCCCCAGTTTTATTGCGATATAATTGACATAATATTGTATTAGTGATGTGAACTTCACCTCAATTAATAAAAAAAGGTCTTCTGACTCCAAATAAAATTCTCTTTTCATTTTTTAAGACCAAATGTTTCTCTTGGGAGAGTAGAAAGATGAAAGCACGTTTTGGTTCAACATAAGTGAGAGTTTTCAGAGTTGTCAAATAGTGTAATGGGCTGACTTGTGATCTATACTTACACTGGAAGCATTCTAGCAGGGACCGGACAACTGTCTATAATGAATATTGTAGAAGGGACTGCTGAATCTCCTTCCAACTTGAAGATTCAAGGATTCTATTCTCTTGAAGAGCTTATCTCTTGGAGAGATCAGAATTTGAGCATAACACAAGACAGAGTATAATCAAATATGGGTCTGTGTGGTAGAGACTACAAATAGAAGGCGATAATGTTGGAAACAAACTAAGCAAACTGCAAATGTGTTAAATAAAAGTGTGCTATGTGTTTATAATGCTATTTTTAAATTCATCTATTGTAGATCTTTTAAAATAAGTCATTTGAAAACAGTGCTCCTTTTTAACAAAATTTACCTAGGTGGTTGGTGAGATTAGCTGGTAGTGGCAGTGGCTGAAGAGACAAAAGTGCAGTGCAGTCTCATAGAAAAGCTAAGATAGTGATTTGGTCACAAAGAGAGCCAAAATTCTACAAGGTTGAGCAATCTGGATGTGAGGGACAGGCCCAGGCCACAGCCACAGCTGGACATACAATTCTTGTCACTGGAGAGAGTATAGTCCTTCCAAATAAGAAAGACTCTAAGCTACAACCCCCTTAGTGTGGCTGAAAGGGAGTACTTTGCTGAGACGTAAATTTAAGGGTATTCGCATTTTGGAATGCATGTACGGGTTTCTCACATTATCTCTATATTTAGTAAGGAAGTTTCTGAAGGTAACAAGGGTATTATTAAAGTTGAAAGCAGTATAGCAGTGGTTAAGAGCCTGGGCTCTGAAGTCAGAACTGAATTTGAGGTCTTAACTTCTTAAGACCTCAGTTTTCTCAGCTATCAAAAGGGGGAAATAATAGCGCCTGTCTCATAGGGTAGTTGTGCGCACATGAAGCTCTTGGCAGCACCCTTGGTAAGCATTCCATAATGTCAGCTAATACTATGTGTGCTGCCTGAATAGATTTTTAAGTGGGGGAAAAAAACCAAGATGTGAACTAAACTGAGAAAGATCCTTTTGGAACAAAGGTATTCCCCAAATTTATTCATTTAACAAATAATTATTTAGGGCCACAGGCCTTGCATTGACTTACTTTTACTTATACTCAACGTCTAAACCATAGTATTTTGTATTCTTGCGTGATTACGGAACCTTCACGCGAGAGGCTTAAAAACATAGCCCATTGGTTAACATAATTATCTATGGTGCTTTGAAGTTATTCCTTCTGGCTCCTGGGGTGGGGCTAGAGCCCGAAGCTGGTCACCAGGCCCTCTCATCATCTGCTGGCTGATTGTGAGGTGAGGATTAACTCGGATTCCCCCGTTAGTATTTCTACTCTTCATTTTCTTTATCTTGAACTTTTTATGGTCCCTTTTCTGCTTCTAACTTGCTCTTTCTCAACCATGTGATTTGAGCACCTGGCGACCTCAGACCTGGTGCTGAGGTTATTTGCTTATTTGATCTTTATTTCTGCCCCCACCCTGTCCCACTCCTCTCTCCCGCCCCACTCCCCCCCCAGCTCAGGCACCTCTGTAAATACCGCTCACTCCCTTTCCCTCATTTTCCCACTTTTGTTTTAAGCATTTGCCCCGCCCCCTCACATTCCCTCCTTTTTGGTATTCTGCTCGCAGGCGCCCCGCTCCGCCCTTTCACTCTTCTGGCTCCGCCCCTCGTACCCCGCCCCTCCTTTCCCTAGTCCTTGTACGCGCGAGGTGGGTGGTGATGCGGTGACGGGGCGACATCTCTGCACCCACGTTAGCTGCAGAAGCTGCCAAATTTCTCACGTCTTAGCCTCCTCTCCCTGCACCTCCCTAGAGTCAGGTTGCCCCGTCTGGGCCTTTGCGCCTGCAGCCTGCCCGACTCCTCCGTTAAGACCCTTGTCATTTCCGCCTCCTATTTCGCGCCTTCTCTTTTAGGCTCGGAGGAGGCGGAGTTGGAATGGCTGTACCACCGTTGCCGAGGCGACGACTTGGTTACTTCCGTTGGTACCAATACTTCCGGGTTGGCGTTGCAGGGGCGCTTCCGACTGTGGGAGCCTCGTCTTCCCAGTCGTCCGATGAGCCCGAGCAGGTGAGGGGGAGCTCCTGGGCTTCAAGGCTGGGGAGCGGGGCTGGGCCGCGCCAGGCCGCGCGGGACCGGGCTGGCCTGGTTCCCGGCCTGGGAGGGGCTTAACGGTCCTTTGGTCTCTCTCTCCCCTCAGCTGTGTCCCTTCCCTGTCTTTCACTCTTCTGGCATCGGTGGTTTTACTTCTTCGATTGAACCCTGCTTCCTCGACCCCCCAGGGAGGCCGCCTCCTTCAGGCGCCTCCCTTCTCTCCACGAACTCGCTCTGACAGCTGAGGAACTGGCAAGATCCTGCTACCCAGAGGGTGAATGGGTATCTTTCCCGGAATAGTCCTAATTTTTCTAAGGGTGAAGTTTGCAACGGCGGCCGTGATTGTAAGCGGAGTAAGCAAACACCTCCATTGTATTAGTGTGACGGATGCTGTTGAAAGATGCTCCCCTTCAGTTTCTACCCCCTGCCACTCCTTGAGGTCAAGGCATTGAAGGCATCTATTAAAATGCAGTTCAGCTAACTAATTGGGATGGCAGCCATTAGTAACATGAATTAGTTTCTCAGACAAGGTAACAGCAGGGACGTTTGTAGTGTTCTGTCAGTGTTTCCTTGTTTTTTTCAGGCTGGGGATGCTTCAAGTCATCATGAACTCTTCCCTCCCCTTCATTCCCTACATCATCAAGTTCCTTTGTGTCTCTATTTTAGAAGTTTATCTCTAACCTCACTGCCAACAAACATCTTGTCTGCTTTACTTCACACCATCCTAAGCTAGTTTCCCTGCCTCTCCTGTTTGTAAACCACTGGTTGGCTGCAGCCCTAGTAGGCTAGCTAAATGTGGTAGATTTCCTCAAGTCACTTCCCTATTCAAAAATTTACAGTAGGGCTTCCCTGGTGGCCCAGTCGTTGAGAGTCCGCCTGCCGAAAATGCAAACAATACCAAAAGATTACTTCACTTTAACATAGAAAACCCGTTTTTCCAATCAAAATTATGCTCTTTAAGAATCAACACAAAATGTTCATGGTTACGTAGCGATGGTTCATCTCAGCCAAGCGCTTTGGAAACCTGATTAAAACTGTGGACCCATTCCTTAGAAAAGTACACCCTAAGTACTCACAATTTTGCATATAACTTCCCGGACACAGCGTGGGGGGTAGGCAAGTACCTCCTGAAGCCTTTGCAGGCTCCAGAATAAGACAGTCCCGACAAATTCCTTTTCAAAAGGATATGAGTAAAATGATATCAACATACACATACACTCTCCATGCTGTTGTGTTGCCAAAAGATAAAAAAATTACTGCTGGGCTTCCCTGGTGGCGCAGTGGTTGAGAGTCTGCCTACCGATGCAGAGGACACGGGTTCATCTGCCCCGGTCTGGGAAGATCCCACATGCCGCGGAGCGGCTGGGCCCGTGAGCCTATGGCCCCTGAGCCTGCGCGTCCGGAGCCTGTGCTCCGCAACGGGAGAGACCACAACGGTGAGAGGCCCGTGTACCGAAAAAAAAAAAAAAAATTTACAGTATCCCTCCCCCCCTGCCACACACACTTTGGTTTCAGGACTTTCAACTTAACCTGTTCCTTATCATACTTTTTGTCTGATATTGTTTCAGTCAGATAAAATAATTCTCTGTTCCAGTTAGATTGCACTCTTCCTTCTGAGTCAAACCATACTGATGCTTGCCTCCACATGCTGTGTTTTTCCCCACATTTGTATCTATCCATTGTGTTCTCCTCCCCGCACCCTCTCCTTACCTATACCTGTTGAGATTCTACCTGCCCTCTGTCAAGGCCCACTTTAAGTTCTCTCATCTCCATAAGCCTTTTCAAATTATTCAAGCCCACGTGGATTGTCTCATTTTGCATGCTTCTCCTGCTCTTATAGTTTGTGCTACATAGTTTGGCACTTATTTTTTTCTTTAATGAACTACTCTGATTTCTTCCACCAGTTTATAAGCTCTTGAAAGGCAAGAACTGTATTTCATACAACTTTTATCCCCACACCCATCTCCTTAATTATCCAGGAAACATAAATATTTTCATGGTGTTAGAACATATGTTATGTGTGTGTGTGTGTGTTTTAAACATCATGTTTATACCCATAGCACATTTGGGCATTTAGTATGCCTTCAATAAACATTTGCTTGACTCTCCATTATTACCTCCTGAATCTGAGAATCTCTAACGCCTACTCTTCCTTAAAGGAGAAAGCAAGAAAGGCACCTGCATTTTTCTGACCAGATCTTTGGAGTAGTGTAACAGGGTTATGTAATTTGTGTTATAGATATTCTTCTCACTCTTTAGGCTATAAGATTTCCCTTAGTCAGACTTCAGAATACGTGTCTGCATTTTGAAGGCATTTTTCATTGGCATCTTAACACGATAAAAATATTTAAGGTACTATATTTCAATTTCAACTCAGATATGACTCTTTTCTTTTACCCATATCTGGGGATAGCCCCCACAAGTCAAAATCATTTTTAGAGTGCTTGGGGTATTTTACACAAGTAATTCTCTGCAACAAAAGCCAGGGGAGAGAATTAGTAGGGAGAGAATCTCTGAGGACCAGCAAAGTGTCATGTACAGTGTGTAGCATTGGTCAGGTCCAGTAAGTTAACTTTCAAATTTTCCCTGTAACCTTTTACATACAGGCTGTATACATGCATAAAGGACATCACACTGGAACCAACCAAGTATTTATCAATAATGGGTGTGTACCCAGTTCTGTGCCAGCTATTGTAGGGGTTATAAAAAGTACTGTGAGACATGGTGTCGGCCTTCAGGGATCTTATCTAGTTAAGAGAGAAAATAACATGGGGCAACCAGAAGATAAACCTCATCCTAGTCATTATTTGTATGCCTGAGATTTAAGATATATAAGGGATAAATAAAGGCTCAAAAGAGCATTATACAGCTGTGGAATAGGTATGACATAACATGCATGCATATATACAGCCTTATGTAAAAGGTTTTAGCTGACATTTGAGTGATTGAGTAGTGTGATATGGCCCCTACAAAAGTGACTGAAATTTTCAGCTGTAGTAATTGAAGTGTAATATAGAGAATGACAAAAATGAGCACAAAGTAGGGTAGCCAGTCTTATTTTGCCACATAAGAACACTAAACAATATCAGCTACCAACTACTAATACATTTCATACAAGAAAGGTGATTTTTAAAAAATGCTCCAGGAGTAGGAAGAACATGATCTTCTAATAGTCCTTTACATTAAATACATTTAGCTGAAATAAAAGGCACTAGGTGCCCTTATTTTCTTTAGTTCAACCCAGAATCGTGAACATTTTCATTAAAGAACCATTGGGCTAATGGACCTGAGATTGTGACTGGTCTTTCTGGTCCCTGCTGTGGCTTTGCCCCCTGCCTTTAATTGCTTTATTATTGCTCCCTGAACCCTGAGCACATCTTCTTTATTAAAAGGCTGGGTAGCAGGTAGTCAAGTCAGGCTTCTGCGATGAAAAGAGTTGAAGGAAGTTATAAAGAGAAAGTGTTGGAGACAAGTATAGCAGCCATTTGAAATGTTTGACTGTTTTGGGCAATCTCTAAATTGGTGAATGGAAAGGGCATTCTGCCTTGCCCCAACTTAGAGAAGGGATATGCCATGGTCCTTGCTTTTCCATGCCTACCCTCTCATCATTTGTGTCATGTTTTACTATCAGTTGTAATCTTAAAATATGGGCATAGCTGAAAATGTTGATAAGGTAGTATTTAGTACTCAAGACTTATCTCAAGCTGCAGCTGATAATTGAATTGCTTATTCCTACTTTGCTTTTTAGAATTATTTTCAACAGTTTTCCTCCAAAAGAGTTGTCTACTGCAGACTCTGTCAGATGGACTGGCTGATCATACTATGTTTGAAAGGAAGTTTCCATAATTATTTTTCTGGCCTCTAAAACATTTGTCTGCATGTTAGCTATCCTCTCTGGAAAATTGTTCTTCTGTGCTTAGTTACAGAGAATTCCTTATGTGGAAACAAAACAAAACCTTGTCTCCCATAAAAAGAGACTGTGATTCAATGGTGCTAACCCCAGATTGGGCAGTAGGGGAGGTGGGCAGTAAGTATTATCTGTTAAAATGTATATTTGAGTACTTAACTATTCAAAAATGTAATAATGTTAATAGCTAATAGTTGAACTAGGTGCTGGGTACTTTTCTAAGTGTTTTACATATATTATTTAATTTTCACAACAACCCTATAATATAGTATTTATTATTATTCCCATTTTACAGTTCAGAAAACTCAGGCACACAGTGTTTAAATAACTTGCCCAAGGTCACAGAACTAATAAGTGGTGGTGTCAGGATTTAAACCTAGGCAAGTCTGACTTTAGAGTCTTCATTCCTGACTGTAAACCACTTGACGTTGCTTTTGAAATTCAATAGTATGCATACCATGAAGATCTGAAAAAGGAATATTTAAAAGAAATCTGAGAATCCATCCTCAGAAAATAGATTGCTTACGGCTGGACCAGGATTTAGTAGGCAATGCCTAGAGTAGTAGTTCTTAAAGCGTGGAAGCATCAGCATTATTTGCAAATTTGCAAATTCTCACGCCAGACCCAGACCACCAGTCAAAAACTCTGAGGGTAAGGCCCAGCAGTCAATGTTTTAATCTGCCTTCTAGATGATTCTGGTGCACATTGAAATTTGAAAACCACTGATTTAGAAGGTAGAACTGTGGAAAAAATAAAATCCAAGAGGGAAATAGCTGGGAGTGGCCGGAAAAAAAGGCTGAAAATATTGAGGGTGACAGGTCTAATGGGGGCGGGATGGGGAAAGAGGTGAGGGGGATGGGGAGTAGTATACATTGTTAAAGAACCCAAACATCAAAGAAAAACAATATTTGTATGTATGTGCTTTAAAAGGCCAGGGAAAAGGAGATTCACTAGATGGATGTATGTTAAATGTCAGAGAGAGGAGAGACATCATCCATATTGTCGTCATTCCTCTGGGAACCAGAAGGAAGGTGAAAACGTGCTTAACTTACCCTGGGCCTAGTGGGGGGAGGTTGTGTGTAGCTGGAAAGTAGCTAGATGAAATAAAACCCTAAAATTTAGTGGAGAGATGAGAGGACTAAGAATATGAGAGGGTATTGGTGTCAGTCTGCCTTGCATCTGAATCAAGCTAACTGAATACCATGAACTGCTTTTACGAGATGCCTCAGCCTATATAATTTAAAGTCCAGGTTCCTTCACTTGTAATTATCTAGTTGGATGTCTAAGTTGGGTGTGCTGGATGGAATGAAACCTCTTCTTTGGGTGGGGGTGGGAATAACATTAAAGAAACTAGAGAACGTGAAGGGCACAGGTTGATATTTGAGTGAATCGCACACTTACCTCTACAGAATGGCAGTAAAGGACACATTCATGATCATCACATAAAACAGGAGCCTTCATTTTTTGTCATTCCACCTGGTAGGGTTTTTCTCTACATTTGTTTTATTTGCAAATTTTGTTGATATAAATTATGTGATCATACACTAACAGATGCTCCTTACTCTTGTGCCTTGTTCTGATTTGTGTTTACTTTTAGCACCAGAAAAGTGCCACTGTAAGCCATGAGATGTCTGGTCTGAATTGGAAACCCTTCGTATATGGCGGCCTTGCCTCTATTGTTGCTGAGTTTGGTAAGAAAGTGAAAACTGAGAAACCTGCTCCTTAGGGTATAGATATGGTAGCATTATTTGTTTTTTGTTTTTTGTTGTTTTGCGGTACGTGGGCCTCTCACTGTTGTGGCCTCTCCCGTTGTGGAGCACAGGCTCCGGACGCGCAGGCTCAGCGGCCATGGCTCAGGGCCCCAGCCGCTCCGCGGCATGTGGGATCTTCCCGGACCGGGGCACGAACCCGTGTCCCCTGCATCGGCAGGCGGACTCTCAACCACTGCGCCACCAGGGAAGCCCACTTGCCCTATTTAAAAAAAGAATTTATCATAAGAAAGTAATGTACTTTAAAAAATATATATTTATTTATTTATTTGGCTGCACTGGGCCTTCGTTGGAGCACACAGGACCTTCGTTGCCACGTGCTGGATCTTTGTGCGGCACGTGGGATCTTTAGTTGTGGCATGTGGGATCTTTTAGTTGCGGCATGCAGGATCTAGTTCCCTGATCAGGGGTCGAACCTGGGCCCCCTGCGTTGGGAGCACAGAGTCTCAACCACTGGATGATCAGGGAAGTTCCGCCCTGATCAAAGCTATCAAGTAATATTTTCTTTATATATGGAATCTAAAAAAAAAAATTGTTCTGATGAACCTAGGGGCAGGACAGGAATAAAGACGCAGATGTAGAGAATGGACTTGAGGACATGGGGAGAGGGAAGTGTAAGCTGGGATGAAATGAGAGAGTGGCATGGACATATATAGATATGTCAAATAGATAGCTAGTGGGAAGCAGCCTCAGAGCACAGGGAGATCAGCTCTGTGCTTTGTGACCACCTAGAGGGGTGGGATAGGGAGGGTGGGAGGGAGATGCAAGAAGGGGGAGATATGAGGATATATGTATACATACAGCTGATTCACTTTGTTATACAGCAGAAACTAACACACCATTGTAAAGCAATTATACTCCAATAAAGATGTTAAAAAAAAAAGATGTACACCTTAAAGAAAAAAAAGTACTACAGATGGTATGGCAAGTGAAGTTAAGAAAAGTCAATTTTAGGAAGCTGTTTTGATAGTTTAATTATTTGTTAATTTGCTATGCTTAAGAAACATACATGAAAATATAGAGGGAGTTAGATAAGATAGGGGTTTCTGTTATATTCTTATACAAGTGGCCTTTCTTTGTGCTCAGTTGTTTATAAATTTCTTAGTAAGTATTCAGATTTCCTTTTTCAAACCTCTTTCCCATTTTAGAAGAAGATTGACCAAGATCAAACCAGATTCTTTTCTATTTGATTTTAATTTTGAAATACTTTTAGATTGTGTTTTTTCATCTTCCAAATTTTCTTTCCTAAACTGTTCATAAGTGACCCCAATCCACTAGTTTTTATTTACTTTCTTGGCATATTGTCTTTTAAATTATAAATTAAAAATTTTTAATGATTATGAGATTATTCAGATTATCTATTTCATCTTGATCGAGTTTTGGTAGTTTGTAGTTTGCAAGGAATTAGTCCATTTCTTCTAAGTTTTTGAATTTATGAGCATAAGGTTGTTTATAGTATTCCTTTATTATTCTGCTGCTGACCAAGATCAAACCAGATTCTTTTCTATTTGATTTTAATTTTGAAATACTTTTAGATTGTGTTTTTTCATCTTCCAAATTTTCTTTCCTAAACTGTTCATAAGTGACCCCAATCCACTAGATTTTATTTACTTTCTTGGCATATTGTCTGGTGTTATGATATCAAGGTCATCAGTGACCAGAGCTGCATAAACATCTTGTTTGTTTTAGACCTTGAAATAGTCCTTGAAATATATTTTGCCAATGAAATGACCACTTCTCTGTGTTGATATAATAAGAGAAAGAAGTTTGGTTAAAGAAAATTTCCCACTAAGCACTGTGCTGGTGTTAGTCCTGAATTACCTAAGGAACCCAGATGAGTAGGCCAAATAGGACTTTGCCATTATCTTTCATGATACTAGAAAACTATTTCTCATAGACAGATAAAAGAAAAAACCCACAAAACTTTGTAATAGTATTTAAGAGTATGTGGAGCAGCAATCCCATGCTTTCCTATCTTCTTGGTGAAGATTTGGGGAGATTTTATGAGGGAGAAGTAGGGAGACTTGAGGTGGGAGGAGGGCAGAAGTAAGAGACAGATAAATGCCAGATTGTATGTTAACAGATGAAATTAAAACATTTAAGTATTTTGCATTTATAGTGTATTAGGACTATCCTAAAGCACTTTATTATATCACAGTTTCAGTTATACTGTGGGTCAAATCCTGCTGCCTAGATATAGTACATTTCACTTTATCACATACAACTCTTGTCCTCTGATAGTGATATTTAAGTAGAGACCTAGGTGTTAGAAAAATAACTTTGTCTTATGTTTTAAAAATTACCATTGGCTTAAATTCATCCAAAACTTAACTGTGATTCTTTGGAAAAACTTATAAATGAGTGTGTTCCTTCACAGGAACTTTCCCTGTGGACTTGACCAAAACGCGACTTCAAGTTCAAGGCCAAAGTATTGATGTCCGCTTCAAAGAGATAAAGTACCGAGGAATGTTTCATGCCTTGTTCCGAATCTATAAGGAAGAAGGTGTATTGGCTCTGTATTCAGGGTGAGACTGGACTCTTTCCATACGTCACGAATAGAAATACTTTTTTGAGAAGCCATGTATTTCAGCTGTCTGATAGCTTGTGCCCTTTATATTCACCATTTCAACTTATAATTCAATATTGATGTGCCAGTTTATATTTCACTTGCTTGTAAATCTTGAGCTTTGGATCTTGTGTTCATTTGGCTATAAGTGATACATTTTAAAATGGATATCTCATTGCAGCAGTGGCTTTTTCCTGTTTTCCTGAGAGTCATCCATAGCCACTGTGAACAGCGGCACTAATTCGCAGTATATATTTCTGTGATAATCTTCCTGAGTTGCCAAATACTGACTTGTAAAAAAATTTTTCCTCTTTAAAGAAATACTATTCTGGCAGTTTAAATAGAAAATGCAGAATGAAAGAGCGGGAGACCCATCATTTTTTGGGGGGGTCATCTTTTGGTTATTCATAAGTCGGTGGTTTCTTGTCCAGTGTGTTGTTTATCTGCTGCCAATTTACTAGTCCACTCCTGTATCTAGGGTACCAGTTTATTGCTCAGAGAATGGATATCAGTTTTATTATTAACTTACGTTAGCCTTAATTTCAAAGATAGTTTACTTGGGGGAAAATATCAAGTATTATATCCTTAAGCAAGTGAATCATGGATCATCTGTTTCACCTTGTTCTTTTATCAGCACAGATGATCACAAGATTATTTTTTTCAGATAGCAAGCAATAAAGTCAGAAATATGCATGTTTTGTCATCATTTTAAAATCTTAACTGTTTGAGCTGCTGCTGTCTTTCTATTTATAACAGCTAAAGTATACTTCTGCAGTTTGGAAGAATCTCAAAGGAGGTATGAGTGAGAATGTCTCCAGTTTATAAGCAGAACTTAAATAGGGTGAAATCTTGGCTCTGGTACCTCCTTGATAGGATTGAAGATATATCTGCATCTGCTAGGAAGTAAGGTTGATTTTGAAAATAAAAATCTGTGAAGTGGGTAATGGTGTATACTTTTTCTACATTACTGGATTCAATATGCTGATATTTTGTTATGGATTTTTGCATCTAAGTTCATGAGAGATATTGGCTTGTAGTTAGTTTTCCTTTTCTGTACTGTTTTTTGGTTTTGTTAGCAGGGTAATACTAGCTTCATAAAATGAGTTGGGCTATCACAGCCCAACTGTGATAGGGCGAGAGAGAGACATGGACATATATATACTAACAAACGTAAGGTAGATAGCCAGTGGGAAGCAGCCGCATGGCACAGGGAAACCAGCTTGGTTCTTTGTAGCTGCCTGGAGGGGTGGGATAGGGAGGGTGGGAGGGAGGGAGACAAAGAGGGAAGAGATATGGGAACATATGTATATGTATAACTGATTCACTCTGTTATAAAGCAGAAACTAACACACCATTGTAAAGCAATTATACCCCAATAAAGATGTTAAAAAAAAAATAAAATAAAATGAGTTGGGAAGGGTTCCCTCTTCTGTTATCTGGAAGAGATTGTGTAAGATTGGCATTCATTTATTAAATATTTGGTAGAACTCCCCAGTGAAATGATCTGGGTGGGCCTGGAGAGTTCCTTTTTGGGAACTTTTAAGTTATAAATTAAAAATTTTTAATGATTATGAGATTATTCAGATTATCTATTTCATCTTGATCGAGTTTTGGTAGTTTGTAGTTTGCAAGGAATTAGTCCATTTCTTCTAAGTTGTTGAATTTATGAGCATAAGGTTGTTTATAGTATTCCTTTATTATTCTTTTAATGACTGCAGAATTGTAGTGCTATTCCCCGTTTTATTCCTGTTGGTGACATTTCTCTTTTTACTACTGGGGCCCTTGCTAGAGTTTTATTAGTTTTATTGATTTTTTTTCAAAATAACTTTGTTTCATTGATTTTTCTTTATTTTCCTGTTTTCAAGTTTATTAATTTATGCTCTTTATTATTTACTTCCTTCTGCTTGTTTGGGTTCATTTTGCTCTTCTTTTTTGTAGTTTCTTGAGGGTAGGAACTTAGATTATTGATTTTGAGACTTTCCCTCTTTTCTAATGTAAGCATTTTGTGCTATAAATTTCTCTCTCAGCACTGCTTTGGTTGCATCCCACATATTTTAATAGGTTGAATTTTCATTTTCATTCAATTCTATGTATTTAAAAAATACACCCATGTCACCCATGGATTGTTTAGAAGTATCATTTAATTTCCAAGTGTTTGTGGATTTTCCGTATTGATTTCCAGCTTAATTCCATTATGGTCAGAGAACATATTCTGTATGATTTCAGTTATTTTAAATTTTTGAGGTTTGTTTCATGACCTAGATGTGCTCTCTTGGTGAATCCATGGGTGCTTGAAAAAAATGCGTATTTTGCTGTTTTTATGGAATGAGGGGGGTGATGGAAGTGAGTAGGCTGTCTAGATATGTATAATCTGTGAGTGCATGTTAAGTATAACTGACTTTCTTTTTCTTTCCTTCTTTCTGGCAGAATCGCTCCTGCTTTACTAAGACAGGCATCATATGGCACCATTAAAATTGGCATTTACCAGAGCTTGAAGAGATTATTTGTAGAACGTTTAGAAGGTCAGTATAAGACTCCTCATTCTCTTTTAAGGTAACACTCAAAGGGATTGTTGAAATCATGCTTAATGAGAAGTGTCCATCACAGGGTGCCTGAGAATGGGTAGCAGTCATTGCAAGGACAAAATAAGCTTGTACTGATTTGGGATTAATCCTTGCAGAGGTGATGTATAGGTTAGAGGGACCTGCTCTTCAAGTTTGTCCCTTTTCCTATCAAACGAACAAAAAAGGCTTCTGGTCATCACAGAGAGAACATGGAGCAAACTTGTTCAGAAAATTAATGCTGTCCTCATCTACAAGAGGACTTCAACTATAAGGAATCCTCTAGCTGTGGGTTTTGATAAGCTTTGGTCAGGTAGAGTAGTTTTATATATATACAAAATATGGCCACCTTAACCCACATTCAGTATTACCATATGTCTCTCTATTTGCTGCTGTAGCTGTTTCAGCTGGATACTGTACTAAATTGGTTATTTTACTACAGGCCTGAGGCTGTTGCATAGTTGGGGACAGCTGGAGAGCTTTTCGGTTGGTAATGTCCTTTGAATTGCTTTATTGTCTAAGTCAACTTTTTCTGGAGCCTTTTTGCGGTACGTGGGCCTCTCACCGTTGTGGCCTCTCCCGTTGCGGAGCACAGGCTCCGGACGCCCAGGCTCAGCGGCCATGGCTCACGGGCCCAGCCGCTCCGCGGCATGTGGGATCTTCCCAGACCGGAGCACGAACCCGTGTCCCCTGCATCGGCAGGCGGACTCCCAACCACTGCACCACCAGGGAAGCCTGGTTTACCTAGTTTTTAACTTGTAGGCTCGCTATGGTGAGGAGGCGTGGTGAAGATTGAATTTTAGAACAATACGCTCTGTGGTTTCTTTGTTCTTTTTTCTAGCTGAGAGGATTTAGTTCCAAATGACTAGTTTTTCACATTTAACTACAGAAATCTTCTGTCAATAAATAGAGGCTAGTAGATAATATGGCCAATTAAAATTAATATTTAGGTATTTTTTTTCCTATTAGACATAAGATTTTATCCTTTAACATTTGGTTCCTGAGTCTTTCGACTTGATGATTCTCCAGAAAAAGACATAAAAATGTTTTTCTTTAGATGTTTGAAATGATTGAAGGAGAAATAGCACATTCTGAATTTATATGGAATATTGGCAGTTATACAGAATAATAGGATATATTCCAGTGTGTTTTAGAAATATCTATTTTAATTTTACATGTTTCAGTACTGATTTGGAACCTAGAAATATTTGAGTTTCTTTATTTTCATAAGATTTGTGGTTCATTTCCGTAGTCGGTTCTCTGACATGGTTCCCTTTCTCTGATAGCTCAGCACTCTGTTCTCAGAAACTGGTACCTCTTACAAGCAGACCTTTCTTTTTTTTGTTCATTTTTACAGATGAAACTCTTTTAATTAACATGATATGTGGGGTAGTGTCAGGAGTGATATCTTCCACTATAGCCAATCCCACCGATGTGCTAAAGGTAAGAAGTCTGGCAGCGTTGGATGTATGCAGTGTGACACGAAAAGAGCATGAGCTTTGAGTCAGATTTGGGCTCAGATCCCCACTCTGTCACTTGCCAGCTGTAAAACCTTGGGCAAATCACTTAACTGCTTTAAGCCTCAGTTTCCTCATTTTTAAAATGAAGATAATTCAGTATGTATTGCATAGGGTTGTTAAGGATTAAAGATAATATATGTAAACTGTTTATCATTGTACTTGGTAGGTAGTTGATGCTTAATAAATAGTAGTCAATTTATTATGATGTGCATTAATCCATTGGTCTTCAAGCTAGAGTATGCAAACCTTTATAGGTTCTTTCCAAGGGGGCTATGCAATTTTAAGGGAATCAATTTCCAGATCCCTTACTTTCTTTGTACCCTTCTCAAAAACTGATCTGAACATGAGCTTGTGTTTAGAACAGCCCTTGCCCCACTTTACAAAAGAAAGGCACATTCCCCAACGCATTCCAAATCACAGTATGGTATATTGACCTGTGGTGTAACCTGGAGTATCATACAAAGGGATAAAGTGAAATACAGTTTTTAGAGAAGCCTCCTTTAATAACTAATTGAAATACCGTAAATCTATAATGTCGCTATCTTTTCCTGTCTTATCTATATTTCTATTAAGAACGAGATTTGGCTTTAAAATGATATATTTTGGCCTATTAGAGATAGTCTGAATTCAGAACCAGAACAGTATAGGTTAGTGGTGCTGAGTTTTTTACAACGTAATTGAATTTCTTTCAGATTTTATCAAAATTCAGACTGAAACGTTTATTTAATAATATCAATAATATCAATCTATATCTTATTTAATAATCTAACCTAATCTAATAATAGCAATCTGCATCTTATTTTTGAGATAAAATGGTTAACATTTTTTACTTATTAACTCATTTACACTTATGATAATTAAAAGCACTAAATATATGATTAAAATGTGTAAGAGGATCCCAAGTTTTTAAAAATCATTTTAGGAGGAATGTGAGAAAAAAGAGTAAGAGAACATATGTTTTATTTATTTGAAACCACAAGTGGCTAGGTTGGTGGAGGGGAGATCTATTGTGATTCAGAGTTTTGAGAACCCAGAGAGTGACTTGAAAGACAACATACATGAAAGAAACCAGTGGTGGTTGATGAAGAAATGATATGAAATGGTATTTCTGGGTTAAATTGAGAATATTTTAGCTACAGAATTTTTATATCACTTTAGATTTACAGAACAAGGATTTTGAAGATAATTGACTATATCCTAAAACTCTAAAATATGTGCAATATAATTACACTGGTTAGAATGTGCTTTTCAAGAACAATAATATTTAATTCCCTAAAACTTCCTTTGTTATCCATCAGGGTCCTAAACTTAATCATATAAGTGATTCACTTCAATTTCCTGTTGCTCTGACCTGTCTGGTACAATTACAACCATTGACCAATGCTACAATCTCCCTTTTCCTTTCATATCCTTAGATAGGGCTGAGTGTTGAGTGGTGCTGGGACGTGGAGGGTCGGGGGTAGTCACAATCCTATATAGGAGTTATAATCACAGTTGGGCTGTTTAATCCTTTCATTTGTCCTTGAATAGATCTTTCTCTGAACTACGTGCCACTTCCTTGCCTTTGTGCATGTAGTTCTCTTTTTGCCTGCAATGCCTTTTCCCCCTTTCCTCATGAATTTATCTTTCAAGACTGCTCAGGAACAGGGCCAAGACTAGGACAAGGGAGATACTCCCCTTGGGTGCAAAATGTAAGGGTGTGCCAAAAAACTCAATAATCAAGAGAAATAACATTTTTATGCAATATTTTTCAAGAATTAAAATGAATGTGAAAAATTCATGATGAACAAATAGCAATATTTTGTACAATCCATCTCACTCACTCTAATCCCTCCCTGTTGGATCCTGTCTTTAATTACAATTTTGATACTTGGTTCATCATGGGTTTTTGTGCATTAATTTTGATTTTTAAAAATATCACATTAAGATATTATTTATCTGGATTACTGAGGTTTTTTACATCCCCCCCACTACCTTTTGTGCCTGAGGAAAGTGCCACACTTGCCTCACCCTCATCCCAGCCCTGGTCAGGAATCACCTGCATAAAGAAGTCTTCTACTTACCATAGGATATTTGTGGTTTCAATTTGTCTTTGTGATAGTTTCTATTCCATTTTAATTTTGTTTAGGTTTTATTTCAAAACTCTTAGTAGTAGCAGTTGACTTTCCGCATAAAAACATGCTGCTGTAACATGATTTACCAAGAGCATTTATTAAAACCTAGAGTTGTGCTTCATGAAAATCAGGCCTACATTTAGGCCACTAGTACTTAGTGACTGACTACTATGATCTATATGTGCAGTCGGTGGAAATTGTACCAAATCTTTTACATGGCCTTTTAATGCTGTATCTCCTTTCTTGTGCCTCTCAAAGGCTACTTTGCAGAATACAGTGTCATGCTTTTTACAAGTGAAACTCAATTTAAGGTCTTGTAAGCATTAAATTATATTTTTAAACTTTTTTTCTGCTTTTTATACTTCAATAAGCAATGCATGTTCAATGTAGTAAAAAGTGGAAGGCAGGAAAAAAACACAAAAGAGAAAAATGCCCACTTGGAGCTTCATCACTTAGACGTAAGCCACTGTCAACATTTGGGTGTGTATGTTCAGTCAGTCTCTTTGTTGAACATATGGTTATTTTTAAGTCTACATGTTTTTGATAAAAATGATATACCATACATACTGCTTTGCAACATGCTTTTTCTATTTAGCAATTAATTGTTGACATTTTCCAATATCCACAAATATTATTCTACAATAAAATTTTATGGCTGCATAGTATTCCCTTAAATGGATGTATCACAGTTTATGCAGCTAATCCTTTGTTGTTATTTTTGGACGTATAGGTTGTTTATAGTTTTTCACTAATCAGTTTAAATGGATTATTTTCTACCCCTACAGAGTACTCATTCTTTCTTTTCCCCAAATTTTCTTCCAACTCCAGAAATGATGGACTTAGTAAGAGGAATGTGAGGCTGATAAAAATCGTCTTTATAAAATATACTTTGACACAAATTACATTCTTTCTATATGTAGCTTAAGTCATTAATTTCATCATAATAGTAAGCTGATTTTTAATTCCCAAATACTGTTTTCTTCATTTTAAATGAGTGAAACATCTCATTTTGGTTCTCTGTCAAAATAAAATGTTCACCTCTTCTGATTTTAGATTCGAATGCAGGCTCAAGGAAGCTTGTTCCAAGGCAGCATGATTGGCAGCTTCATTGATATATACCAACAAGAAGGTACCAGGGGTCTGTGGAGGGTGAGTACTCTTTTCTTGGTATTATTCTTTACACAGTTGCTAGAATTTGCAAAGATTACCTTTTACATAAAGCCATAAAATTGTGAATTGTCACCTTATACTATGTAAGATTCTTGGTAACCTAAAAAATAAGGTAAGAAGCTCCTTATCAGCTATGAAAGGACCAAAACTTATCAGTCGTCTTTATTTCTGCTTAATGTTTGGGGATTGTATGTGTGAGAGAAGTTATATTGTTTGAGATAGCCATTTTGGTTTGTTCAAATTCACAGTGAGTTTAACTTTTCAATATATATTTTTGCCAGTTTTTTTTTTTTTTTTTTTTTAAATTTAAGTTACTTGTGTGGGCCCTATAGACACTTGAGTCCTGATGTAAAGGACTTTATCTTCCACCAGCTAGGCCTCTCACTGTTGTGGCCTCTCCCACTGTGGAGCACAGGCTCCGGACGCGCAGGCTCAGCGGCCATGGCTCACGGGCCCAGCCGCTCCGCGGCATGTGGGGTCTTCCCGGACCGGGGCACGAACCCGCGTCCCCTGCATCGGCAGGCAGACACTCAACCACTGCGCCACCAGGGAAGCCCTATTTTTGCCAGTTTTGTATTAACACAGCAATGTATGTTTATGGTAGTCTCTGTAGTGCTTATGATCAAAAGTTATTGCCTAAAACAACTTTTTTAACATTATAAAAGGTAAAAGATGTACTACAAACTGTTGAGAAAGTATATAAAAGATAAAAATATCCAGTAGTCCCACTAGCTAGAGATATCACTGTTAACATTTTATCGTATTATCTTCTAGTCTTCTATCTATACTTTATAAAATATTTTTGTTCCTGTAATTTTTTATCCAGTTTTAATCACTTAGGTTTGTAATATTAAATAAGACTACTAGTAGTAGAGAGTAGAATGGGAAATCCATTAATGGACTCTTAAAAGAGAGAGCTTTGCTTTTATTATTTCTTTATAATTTTCCCTAACTACTTACTATAAAAATTTTCAAACATACAGACAAGTTGGAAGAACAGAACAATGAACACCTACATAGCTGGATTAAATGACTCAAAGTTTGGCCCTATTTGCTTTATCTACTTATGTATATACACACATGCATACACATACCCATACACACACACACACACACGTGCACACTCTCTTTTTTTTTTGTTTAAATATCTAATGAGTCTCTCTCTTTCCTTTTTTTCCTAAACTATTTGAAAGGAAGTTGCAGACATCGTGTTACTCCCCTAAGTACTTCATTATGCATCTCCTAAGAATAAGGACATTCTCCTACATAATAACAATACCATTGTCACACCTAAGAAAATTAATAAGTCCCTAATATCTAATACCTAGTCCATATTCAAATTTCCTTTATTGATGAGGTCAGGTCAGTTTTCTTATATAAAATGTTTGCTTGCATTTCCCCTGTATTTCCTGTAAGCTAGAAGTTAGATCTGTTGGCTTGATTAGATGCATGTTAAACATTTCTGGTAAGAGAACTTCATAGATAACACTATTTCATATGCATCACAGCAAGAGACACAAAATGTTAGTTTGTCCCAAAATTGGTGATGCCAAGTTCGTTTACTTGTTACGATGATGCTTACCAGGTCTTATCATAGTAAAAGATACGTTGTTTTCCCCCTTTGCAATTAGCAAGTAATTTGTATGGTAATATTCTAACAACGTGCATATATCCTATTACTTAATGACCTTTCACCAAATGATCTTAGCATCCATTAATGATCCTTGACGTTTGCTGTTTGATAAAAAGCACTTGGAGGTACACTTTCTTTTCCTTTTTCTTTCTTTCTTTCTTTCTTTTCTTTCTTTCTGTCTTTCTTTTTCTTTCTTTCTTTCTTTCTTTCTTTCTTTCTTTCTTTCTTTTCTTTCTTCTTTCTTCTTTCTTTCTTTTCTTTCTCTCTCTCTCTCTTTCTTTCTCTCTCTCTCTCTTTCTTTCTTTCTCTCTCTTTCTCTCTCTCTCTCTCTCTTTCTCTTTCTTTCTTTCCTGCCACACTGCATGGCATGCGGGATCTTAGTTCCCTGACCAGGGATCGAACCCGCGCCCCTGCAGTGGAAGTGTGGGGTCTTAACCACTGGACCGCCAGGGAAGTCCCAAGGTACACTTTCTTGATTACTCTAATTTAAAACCAGAAAATGGAACTAACTAGAACTTTTTTCACAAACTAAGGCTAAGGAAAAGACAAAGACAGAACAATAAGTAGAATAGGAGATTTTGTCAGGGGAACATAGCTACTTTGTTTTTAATTAAAATAATCTTTTAATTGTGTTAAAATACATATAAAATATCACATTTTTGTACAACCATTCTCCAGAATTCTTTTCATCCTGCAAAACTGGAACTCTGTACCCATTAAACAACAGCTCCGCATTTCCTCTTCCCCTAGGCCCTGGCCACCAACCTTTTATTATCTCTCTATGAATTTGATGGTTCTGGGTACCTCATATAAGTGGAATCATACAGTTTGTCTTTTTATTACTGGCTTATTTCTTAGCATAATGTCCTTAGCATAATGTCCTCAAGGTTCATTCATGTTGTCACATGTGTCAGAATTTCCTTTTTAAGGCTGATTAACATTCCATTATATGCATATACTACATTTTGCTAATCCATTCATACATTAATGGACATTTAGTTTGTTTCTATATCTTGGCTCTTGTGAATAATGCTGCTGTGAACATGGATGTGCAGATACCTCTTCAAGACTGATGTCAATTTTTTTGTGTATATACCCAAAAGTAGGATTGCTGGATTGTATGGTAATTCTATGTTTAATTTTTTGAGGAACTGAACATAGCTACTTTTATGATCCAGGCTACTTACTTCATCCAGGCATGTAAGGAGAAGTGAAGTATATTGTGTTATGTATTCTTTTGATACAGACATGTATTATTTACATATTAAAATATGGGAATCTTTTTTTCATTTCAACAAGGAAATATGTTTACATTTTTCTTCAAACACATGTCTGTATTTTGTTTTCCTGCTTTGATTGTAACATGGGTACTGGAAACATTTCACTTTCACTGGAAACATTTCACTTTCTTCCAAACTCCATTGTAAGAAATAACAACAGGAGTACAGTAATAAAGAGTAACTGGCACTTAGATCAGAGTTGGACAGACAGTAGAGTTAGTGAACTGGAGAGCACTTGCCCTGTTCATTGCTGTCGTACACCACGTGAATCCAGTGTGGCCAAATTTTCTGGGCTTTCAGGAGAAGCTGGAAATTTGCATTCCTGTGTGAAATATCCATTCCTGTGGTTTTGTTTTTGTTTTATGTTGACAGCTAATTCAGCCTTTTAAGAAACACTGTGTAGGCCACACAAAACATGTCTGTGACCTGAATTCAGCCCGTGGGGCCTTATGGTTCACCAAATTAGTCTTCTGAGGCCATCTTCTAACAGAGTTGAACAGGTGGAAGGATCAGAGAGGAAGGTACTGCTGGGCCAGCCAGCCTCATCAGCAGAATCAAACATCTCCTGATGACAGCACAGCTACATCACTTCCACTTTATAAATGGAGTTTGGGAATTTAGAGATGATTGAACTATTTAATTATAACAGGTATCACAGAAAGCAGTTGTTCCCCATGGTATATTATTTTCAGTTTTTTAAATGATATTTAAATTTAAACACAATTGTAAAAGTAAAACATTCCTTGTGAAAATTTTTACAAAAATTTGGCATGTGTTTGTATACCATTTCCCCTAAAGTTAGAATAATACTATAAGTAATTTTATGTCTTACCTTATTCAGCGTTGTAGGCATTTTCTTGTGTCATTCATATTCTTCAAAAACAGGACTTTTGATGCTCTGGCAGCCCTATGTTGTAACGTGAGCTGTTATAGGAATACTGTACTAGTGAGTGAAAAGCTGGTAGTGTTATCACAGGAGGACTCATAAGTAGGCCTTTGCCTTGGCCTTCTCCCTGGCTGCATCATACCTTTGCTGTCATCCTAGTGTGTCCTTTCTGCACATCCTAAATTCTGTGAAATAAACTTGAAAGTTCTTTTCTCCCTACTGACTTTTGCTTCATGGTTTTATTTTTAATAACATCTTTATTGAGATAATTCATATACCATAAAAATTTGCCATCTTAAAGTGTACAATTTAATGTTTTTTGGATATCCACAGACTTGTGCAACCATCACCACTAAGTTTAGAACATTTTTATCACCACAAAAAGAAACCCCATATCCATTAATGGTCACTTCCCATGACCTCCAACCTTCCCAAACCTAGACAACCACTAATCTAGTTTCTGTCTCTATAGATTTACCAATTCTGGCATTTCATGTAAATGGAATTATACAATATGTGGCATTTAGGACTAGCTTCTTTAGTTTAACATACTGTTTTTAAGTTTCATCTATGTTTTAGCATTTATCAGTACTTCATTTCTTTTTATGGCTGAATAATAATTCCATTGTATGTATATACCACATTTTGTTTATTCCTTCATCAATTAATAAGCATTTGGGTGGTTTGTACTTTTTGGCTATTATGAATAATGCTGTTATGAACATTCATATACAAGTTTTTGCATAAATATATGTTTATAATTTTCTTGGGTATGTATTTAGATGTGAAATTGCTGGGTCATGTAGTAATTCTATGTTTAATTTTTGAGGAATTGCCAAAGTGTTTATCACAGTGGCTGCCATATATTGTATTCCCACCAGCAGTGTATAAGTGTTTATCTTCTTTGGGGAAATGTCTATTTAGATCTTTTGCCCATTTTTAATTGGGTTGTTTGTCTTTTTATTGTTGAGTTGTAAGAGTTCTTTATTTTGAATACTAGTCCATGTACAATATATGATATATACTAGTCCAGATATATGATTTGCAAATATTTTCTCCCGTTGTGTGGGTTGTTTTTTCACTTTCTTGATGGTATCCTTTGAATCACAAAAATGTTTAATTGTGATAAAGTCCCATTTATCTATTTTTTCTTTCGTTGCTTGTGCTTTGGGTATCATATCTATGGTTTTATTTTTTAGTACAGTAAGTGAATTAGAAATTTATAAATGTTCCAGTATTAGCTATTGATTTGAAGGAGTAATAACCCCTATACTTCAGACTTGGATTTTCTCTGTTATTTTTTAATTCCTGACTTACTTTGTTCACTTTTAGACTTATGTCACTACCAGTGTATTTCCTTGGTGTCTCATGTCACTTATGTTTTGTAGGGTGTTGTCCCAACTGCTCAGCGGGCTGCCATCGTTGTGGGAGTAGAGCTACCAGTCTATGACATTACGAAGAAGCACTTAATATTGTCAGGGGTGGTGGGAGACACAATCTTAACTCACTTTGTGTAAGTATGATAGGTTGTACTCATTCCATACATTCAGTACTTTAAGCACAAAAAGCATCTTTCACTGAAGTCCTCAGGTAGAATTGATAATGGGTACATATGGTCTAAATACCTTTTTCTCTCTCATCACCAGAACTTCAAGCCTTCTGATACAGGTACAGAGATTCCAGATGCTATGGGCACTTTGGTACTTGGGGGCAGTGTCTAATACAGTAGCCTATCAGAGGTCTGTAGGATTTGCATTTGTTCATACACAGCCTCTGTATCTAATAAACTCATCTCTTATTTGCTTTGGTTAATTTTGGATCAGAAAGCAAATTTTCTCAATGAGAAACAGAATAAAAGGGTGAAATTTTATAGGGCCTGTGAAACAAAACCAGTTTTGGGCTGAAGACTGTTGCTAATTTCATCCTACGTTTTCTTCACTTGCAACTTTTATGATATTTTACTACTCAAATGCACTTGGCATATGACGCTGTGGTTTGAAAAATTTACATAACTAATAGATGATGCATAATACTTCCTGCTTAGGGAACTTGCTAGACTTATATAAACTGTCCCCTTAAAAAAAAAAAGGCTATCTGAATTTTAGATTGAAAAGTGAAGGGGACAACTTTTGAATAATGTAAAGATTAGTAAAGATTTCCTTTCTCTTTAGATTGTAATGAAAGGGCAAGTGCCAGGTTTTATCTGATGAGTCTGACTCATTGTACATTTATGTTTGGACTAATTTCAGTTTAAGCGGGCAGAGGTGGAAGTGGGGCAGTCTGTCTTCTTAAAGTTTTTATCTTTAGTTCCAGCTTTACGTGCGGCTTGGCTGGGGCTCTGGCTTCCAATCCAGTTGATGTGGTTCGAACTCGCATGATGAACCAGAGGGCAATTGTGGGACATGTGGACCTCTACAAGGGCACTTTGGATGGTATTTTAAAGGTACGCACACTGTGAACTTGGATTGTATTTTTAATTTTCTTTGATGTCTCAGACCTTCTTGCAGTCTTTATTCTTAGTTGCTGCATTTCATTCTGAAGGTGGAAGAATCATTATGTCTATTTTTAGTAGCCTCTCAGAGTAATTCCTAGGTAGGAAAGCTGTCTCCTTGGCAATCTGCTGATGCACAGTGGTCCTTAATATTATTATTCCAGTTTGAATGCTTAAGACTGCAGGATACTTTTATCAATAGCACCATGTAGAATTACTGATAGAAAGGACTTAACATATCCCACATTTGCCCATTTCAGACAAGGCAGAGATGCTATAATAGAAAATCTGGTACTTGGTTTCCGTTCAGCATTGTACTATTGTTCACGGTTTGGCTTTGAAAGTTTCTGCTATGTTATGTTTGTAGGAAGCTGAATATCATACATGTATTATATATTATATAATCATTCATGATAATACTTCTACAAAAAACAAATTTGGAGCTAAAATATGATATTGTCATATGCTTTCTCAGTTTAGTTAACAACTATTATCTATCAGGCACCATTTTAGTACGTACAGAGAAATTACAGTTTACCACATGTATACAAACAGATAATCAACACATCTTGTCAAGTGATAAACTCAGGGGTCTATGGGAGGAAATTTTAGTCCAATTTGGAAGTTTGGGATAGGTTTCCTGTAGATGGAAGCATCTAAAATAATAGTAACTAACATCTGTTGAGTGCTTTGCTGTGTATCGGGGACTGTCCTAATGAGACTTACATGTATTCATTCATTTAATCCTCACCATTACAGCATACTGAAGTGCTAAGAGATTAACTAACCTGCCCAAGGTTTCACAGCTAGTAAGTGGGAGAGCTGGGATTTCAACTTAGACCATTGGCTTCAACCCAACATTCTTCACACTGTGGTGCCTTCCTCATGTTGGTGGCTGAGGGTTAGTTAGGTTATAAAGGATATTGAATGCTATGCTGAGATGCTTGGACTTATTCTTTTACTTGATGGGGAGCTATTGAAAGATTTTAATCAGGTCAGATTACATTTTAAATAGATCACGCTGGCTTTGTGGAGACAGTTGTTCTCAATCTTAGATGCACACTGCAGTCACCTGGGGAACATTCACAGCTTCTGCACCCACCTTAAACCAATGACCTCAGAACGCCTGGGGTGGGAGCCAGGTTATCAGTATTTTGAAAACTCCTCAGGTGATTGCAATGTTCGCCCAAGGTTGAAAACCATTAATCTAAGGGGATAAGCCTGGAACAGTGGTTCTTAAAACTTTAACATGCATCTGAACCCCCTGGAAGGCTTGTTAAAATGCAGGTGGCTGGGCCCCATCACCAGATTCTGATTTAATAAGTTTGGAGAAGAAACTGGGAATTTGCATTTCTAACCAGTTCCCAGGCAGTACTGATGCTGCTAATCTGGGACCACACTTTGAGAACCACTGAACTAGAGATAGGGAAACTGATTAGAAGGCTCTTATAGTAGTCTGAGCAAGAGATGCTGAGAGCCTGAACTTGAGCATGAATAGTGGGGATAGAGTTGAGAATAATTTAGTTGATAAAGTCAACAGGATTTTGTTGACTTGATGTGGAGAGGTGTGGGAGAAAGAAGGTGTCAAAGATAACTTCCCAGTTTTTGGCCTTGATGACCATGTAGTGACATTCATTGACAGAGGCATTACAGGAAGAGGAGCAGGTTTTGTGGGAAGCATCACAGTTTTGGATATTTAGTTTGAGGAACACCCAGTGAATATATTTGGATATCTTAGTCTTAACTTGGGGGAGAGTTCAGGGGTGTAGATAAGAACCTGGGGAAGCAGTAGTGTACAGGTGTTACATAACTGGAGGGGGAGGCCAAGGAGAGCAGGTAGAGGAGTTCACAGCTTTTTTGCTTTCCTAGCACACTGGAGTATTATAAAACTCCTTCCATTCATTAACAGTGATTCACAGAAGCAGTGATTCTCATACCCTGGGAAGTAGAGTTTGGCAAAAGACCCCCTTTCTATTTCTGACATGCTCACCCTTCCACTTGACAGTCACTGGTATAGAGAGGAGTGGGGCCAAGGAAAGAACTCTGGGGAAATACCAACTTTTAAGGGCTTGGCAGATGAGGAACCAAGGAGAGACACCAAAAGGTAACACTTCAGGGAATTCCCTGGCGGTCTAGTGGTTAGGACTCTGCGCTTTCACTGCTGAGGGTGCGGGTTCAGTCCACTGTTGGGGAACTAAAATCCCACAAGCCATGTGGTGCGGCCAAAAAAAAAGAGAGAAGAAAAAAAAGATAACAGTTCAGAAGATACGAGGAAACTTACAAGCGAGTAGTGTCATAGAAGCCAAGGGAGTAATGAGCTTCAAGAAGGGATGAGCAGTTATTTAATGCTAAATGGAATAGAGAGATCCAGTATAAGGACTGCAAAGTGTCTGCTGGATTTAATATTTTCTAGAGGAGGTTTGCTGGATTGGTGTTTGTAAAAGTCAGATTGCTGTGCATTGAAGAGTGTGTTTAATCATTCATTCATTCATTACAAAAATGTTTGTGTCTTCTGTGCTAGGTACTGTTCTAGGTTGGTGAACAAATAAGTCCTGGCCTTCATGACATTTTAATTCTAATAGGAAGAGACAGATAAACACATAGGAAGTGAGGATGAGTAGACAAGTATAAAATACTCTTTCAAGAAGGTTGGCTAAGAGGAGATAGAGGGTATAGTAATATAGTAATAGCATTTGTTGAATGCTTATTATGTACCACACACTAGAGTATATCCTTTAACTCTCAGCAACCCTACAGAGTGGATAATATCGTTACCATTTTATATAGGAGAGAACTCAGGTTCAGAGTAGCTAAGTATTTACTCAAGATTATACACCTAATAAGTGGCAGATCTGGGATTTAAATCAGGGTTTGTTTGATTCCAGAGTTTATACTTGTAACCACTATGCTGTATGATATTGTCAGAAACATATTTTCATGTTGACAGTAACCTTTAAGTACTTACATTTACTCACTCATTCACTTACTTGCTATTAAAATTCTTTAAAACAACTTTGCTCTTTATTGTCATCATACTTTTTTATTTTATCTATAAGAGTGCCATAACACTTCAGTGAATGGAATTATGCATTCATCTCTGATGTAGAAATGAGCATCTGCAAATCTCATCCTGTTACCTCTATATTAAAACCCTTGAATGGCTTCTCTCTGATGCAAGGTCCATATGACCTGACCCCTTTTTACCTCTACAGCCTTATCTTTGCTACCTTTATTCTGTACTCCAGACATACTGAACAAGTTCTAGTACTAGACTTTTCTTTCATTCCCAAGTTTTCACCTATGCCATATACTTTGTTAGACGGCTAGCTTCTACTCATTCTTCAGATTGCATTATTTTTTCATAAAGGCCTTCCCTGACCATTAAACTGTGTATGTGTATGTAGTTTTATATACTTGCTCTGTCATAGCATTTAATATATTTTAAAAAACATCTTTTTTAAACATCTTTATTGGGGTATAATTGCTTTACAATGGTGTGTTAGTTTCTGCTTTAGAACAAAGTGAATCAGTTATACATTTACATATGTTCCCATATCTCTTCCCTCTTGCATCTCCCTCCCTCCCACCCTCCTTATCCCACCCCTCTAGGTGGTCACAAAGCACCGAGCTGATCTCCCTGGGCTATGCGGCTGCTTCCCACTAGCTATCTACTTTACGTTTGGTAGTGTATATATGTCCATGCCTCTCTCTCGCTTTGTCACAGCTCACCCTTCCCCCTCCCCATATCCTCAAGTCCGTTCTCTAGTAGGTCTGTGTCTTTATTCCTGTCTTACCCCTAGGTTCTTCATGACATTTTTTTTCTTAAATTCCATATATATGTGTTAGCATACAGTATTTGTCTTTCTTTCTGACTTATTTCACTCTGTATTACAGACTCTAGGTCTATCCACCTCATTACAAATAGCTCAATTTCGTTTCTTTTTATGGCTGAGTAATATTCCATTGTATTTGTGTGCCACATCTTCTTTATCCATTCATCCGATGATGGGCACTTAGGTTGTTTCCATCTCCGGGCTATTGTAAATAGAGCTGCGATGAACATTTTGGTACATGACTCTTTTTGAATTAAAAAAAAAACATCTTTTTTGATGTTTTCTTAACTTCATATAATTCATAAAATTCACCTATTCAGAGTGAATAGGCTTTTGGTATATTCATGGATATGTGCAACCATCATCACCACAGTCAATTTTAGAACATTTTTATGACCTCAAAAAGAAACCCTGTGCCCTTTAGCTATTACCTCCCTATCTTCCCAGCCCTAAGAAACTACTAATGTACTTTTATCTCTGTAGATTTGCCTATTCTGGATATCTTATATAAATGGAACCATACAATATGTGAGCTTTTTGTTGTTGTTGTTGCGTTACGCAGGCCTCTCACTGTTGTGGCCTCTCCCGTTGCGGAGCACAGGCTCCGGACCCGCGGGCCCAGTGGCCATGTCTTACGGGCCCAGCCACTCCGCAGCATGCGGCATCCCCCCGGACCGGGGCACGAACCCGTGTCCCCTGCATCAGCAGGTGGACCCTCAACCACTGTGCCACCAGGGAAGCTATGAGCTTTTTGACTGGCTCATTTCACTTATCATAATGTTTCAAGGTTCATCCATGCTGTAGCATGTATCAGTACAGGCATACCTCAGAGGTATGCTTCCAGACCACCGCAATAAAGCAAATGTCACAATAAAGCGAGTCACATGAACTTTTTGGTTTCCCAGTGCATGTAAAAATTATGTTTACGATATGCAGTAGTTTATGAAGTGTGCAATAGTATTGTCTTAAAAAAAACAATGTACATACCTTGATATGCTAAAAAATGTTAACCATCATCTGAGCCTTCAGTGAGTCATTTCTTTGCAGTAGAAACATCAAAGATTACAGATCACCGTAACAAATATAATATAATGAAAAAGTTTGAAATATGACGAGAAT